AGCATCTGACTCCTTCTTCTAACCTCTAGGAACACCAGGCACAGATGTGACACACACACACACACACACACACACACACACACACACACACACACCATTCATATAGATAAAAATAGACACATCTTGGGTCTGGAAAGAAGTCTCAGCAGTTGAGAGCACTGGCTGTTCTGGAGAACCTGGGTTCAATTCCCAGCACCCACATGGCCATTTATAATTGCCTGTAACTCCACCACCTCCAGGGATCCAACATCCTTACACAGACATATATGCAGGCAAAATACCAGTGCACATAAAATAAAAATAAATCAATCGTTTAAAAAAGAAAGAATATTTTAAAAAATACATCTTAAAAAGACAACAACCCAGGCCAGGTATGATGACACATACTTCTAAACATATCACTCAGGAGGCAGAGACCGCAGGGGGAATCTCTGTGAGACTGAGGCCAGCCTAAGTTACAGAGTGAGACCTCTTAAAATGTAAAAAACAAGGCTCAAGAGATTGCTCAGCTAGTAAAATGCTTGCTATACAAGCATTGAGGGCCTGAGTCAATGCTCAGAACTCATACAACAACAACAACAACAACAACAACAATAATAATAAAAACCAGATTTGCTTCTAGGAATGTGCAATTGGGTGCTAATGAGGACAGGAGGATCCCCAGGGTCCGCTGGCCAGTCAGCTGAGCCTGCTCAGAGAGCTCCATCCAGTCATTGCCTCAGAAAATAAGGAGAGTGGCTGCTGAGGAACAACTCGGTTTAACTTCTTTCTGGCTTCACACACACATGCACAAGCATACACATGTCCACATATACACCCTCTCACATTTACACCCATACATAAATAGAAACAAAACAGCCCAAACCTGTCAAAATAGACAGAGAAATGCAACAAAGTACAGACACGAGCACCTGGGACTCTGGGACATCAGGTCCTGATGAACCTAGAAAAGGAGATGATACCTTCCTTCCTTCCTTTCTTCCTTCCTTCCTTCCTGTCTGTCTATCTGTCTGTCTTTCTGTCTTTCTTTCTGTTTGTTTTTCAAGACAGGGTTTCTCTGTGTAGCCTTGGTTGGTCTGGAACTTTGTAGACCAGGCTGACCTTGAACTCACAGAGATCGGCCTGTCTCTGCCTCCCAAGTGCTAGGAGGCACCAGGCTAGGAGGTACCTGTTTCAAGAAGAGACTAACAATGGTGGTTAGCCTCATGGCTAATAAATTGGCCACATGGTCAATAAAAGATGGGCATCAGTGGCTAGACAGATGGTTCAGCCGTTCCCAGCACCTGCTGTTCTTGTAGAGGACCAAGATTTGGCTCCCTGTACCCACACGGTAGCTTACAGATATCCATTACTCCAGTTCCAGGGAATCTGATATCCTTTTCTGGCCTCTGTGAGCACTGAATGCGTATGGTGCACATACATGCAGGTATACATCTATGCATATAAAACTAAAATAAATCTTAAAGGGTGGCTGTTGGTTTGAGGAAGGGCAAAGGCACGAAGCAAGGTGTGTTTGGAGGAACTGTTTGCCTCAGTGACTGGGGGGACACAGTTGCCACAGCAGTTCCAGAACAATCTCCATTCATCAGCAGGTAGCTTAGCCCAGTGCATGTGACAGCCTGGGAATGCACACCAACTCTCTGAGGATGGCATAGGATTTTCAGCACCCCATTGTAGAGATCATAATGGGCTGCAGTGTGTGAATTTGACCTTGTGGGTGTTAGGAAACTATGGAAAAGACGTGGTGACCTGGCTGGGCAATGGGACAGCTATGAGACTGTCATTCAACTCCAAAATGAATAGAGGGTGGCTGGGTGGGTGATGAGGTAACTGAAGAAGACTTTTTATCAGAAAGCACCATCCTCCCTGTCACAGAAATTCACAGCACCGTGGGTACCAAGCCGTCTCACACAGACACACAAAGTACATGTGGGTGCTAGAACTTCAAAGCCTGGTCCTGTGGCTGAGTACCTGGGTCTCCTAGAGAAATTCTGCAGCCTCCCCAACTAGCTGTAAAATGGGTGTAAGAACCACCCACCTCTAAGGTCTGCTTTAAGGACCCAAGGAATTTACTCACACAAAGCCCCAGACAGTGATCATGATAGAAGCTTCTGTGATGGGTATTGTACCTGAAAACAAGGAAACCGAGGCCCAGCCTCGTCCTCTACAAGCTCCGGATGAGGCTCATAGAGGTGAGCAGGCCATTTGGCTCCAGAGCGACTTTATGTGATAGCCTCCCAAGAGTTACTTGGTTGGGATGGAATAGGGGCTGGCTGTGTGAGGCCCTGTGCTTGTAGGTGAGGGAGGAGGGAGGTGCAAGGATGCTCCAAGCTCTTGCTCAGGAGGTCAGGGTCACCCAGTTCTCCAAGACTGACTTCTGGGTCCCCAGCGGCGCCTTCTCCAACAGTTCCCCGGAGGCCCCGGCATTTCCCTTGGTGCCAGGGGATTGTTTTTAGCTGGTCTGGGCCCGCCTTGGGCTGCTGGAGACAGGCTCAGGCGTCACACTCCCGCCTGTCTCCCCATTCTCGTCTGTGGGGTGGGGGCAATTAGTATTCGAAAAGGCCCCAAAATAAATGGGCCTCTTATCTGATCTCCCAGCCTGGCCTGTTATCTGATCATTACATAATAGCCAGGCCTGTGGCCTCTCCTGCTGGCGCTGGCTGACGGCATGGAGGAGGCGGCCCCAGGCAGCCCGGCAATGCCAGAGGAACTGGGGTTCCTGGAAGTCTGGGGAGGGAGGCAGGGAAAGTCCAGAGATCTGTAGGTCAGATCCTGGGTCATGTGGGGAGAGGAGTGGGAGACCCAGAGGTCAGGCATATGTATGTGTGACCTTGACATGAGCATCAGGTCCCTCAGGATGCGGTCTCTCCCATCTAGGTAGACACAGACAGTCTATGCTTAAGAGTGGGCAGGAGTGGGAGTGAATCCCAAGGAAAATTGACAACCGGAGAGGGCACCGAGCCTTGAGTCTACCGGTGCTTTCCTACTTCACCCCAGCCCTTAAACAGTCACGTGTCTACAGCAAACACAGACAAGAAAACTACAGAAAGACCCACCATACGCCCTGCCCCACAACATGCTCCCAGAAACCTTCGGGGCTGCGTGCTTTCCTCCCTTACTGACATTGCATAGACTGGGAAACTAAAGCCCCGGGTGCTGAAATCAATCCCCAAAGCCACAGCTAATCCGAATTAGATGTTGGGCCTGGATCCCAGGAACTTGCTTTGAACAAAAATACCATATTCCAAACACACCAATGTCCCTAACATACTGGAGACGGGACTAAGGTGATAGCTGATAGAGGGTCTGAGCTCTTGTGACAATTCTCTTCCCAAGATGGAGATGAGGAACAGTGTTGACAGGGTGTGCGGCAGCCATCTTACCTCCTCCTCTGACCTCGTGGCTTTGGGCTCAGCAAGCTAGCTACAAAGGTGGGGGAGAAGGCTGGTCAGGCCCCAGGCGCCTGGGGTTCAGGAAGAACCAGCTGCCCCCATCCTCAGCACTGGCGTCAGCTGGACATGAAGCCTGGCCCTCCTCACCCATGTTTGATCTCCAAGAAAACAGGAAGTGAGCACGACAAGATGGAGACATAAACTTCCAAACAGTCTCCCCTTCTCTGTCCCTCCTCCACGGCCCCCCTTCCCATCAGCACATTCCTTACGACGAGGTGTAGGGGCCTCATTTCCTCTTCCTCCTCTGCTGGGTCAGGGTGAAATTCCATGGCTCTCCCTTGGGACCCGGGTTTCCGGGCCGCCCTGCAGCAGGCTGTGATGCCTGCTCCATCACTGCCTTCCAACCTGGGCTGCTCCCCGTGAGGCAGGAAATTCCTTCTGCAGAAACAGCCTCTTAGGGACTGACACCTTGAGGCCAGAAGAGGGGAATCTGGCTCCCTATCACAACCCCTACCTTCCTTTGGATTGAACTTTTAATACTTGGGGTCCACCATAGGTCCTGCCGCTTGGGGTCATCTGACACAGCAAATAAAAATAGTGGAGAGCTGGGCATGATGGTGCACACCTTAAATCCCAGCACTGGGGGAAGCAGAGGCAGGTGGATCTCTATGAGTTCGAAGCTAGCCAGGTCTACATAGTAAGTTCTAGGCCAACCAGGACTAAACAGTGAGACCTGTCACAAAAACCCCTAAAACATAAAACAAATATATATTACCTTCCCTGTTAAATTTGAATTTCAGGTAAACAATGAACATTTTGTAGTATAAATATACAATTATATATTAAAATTATACCTTGAAAAATGAGTTATGTTTATCTGAAATTCAGACTTAATTAGTGCCCTGACTTTTATCTTCCAACATTATACCTGAGTAACACCATGACTCTGGGAGAGACTTTCTCTGCCTGAGCCTCAGTTTCTCCATGTATGAAATATCTACCATGTAAGATAGCTATGAAGATGCCATGACAGCTTGAGCTCTGCTCGTACCAAGTATGTAGGAAATGTTCAAAAAGTGAATATGACAGCCGGATGGTGATGGCACATGCCTTTAATACCAGCATTCGGTAGGCAGAGGCAGAGGCAAGTGGATTTCTGTCAGTTCTAGGCCAGCTTGGTCTACTAAGCAAGTTTCAGGACAGCCAGGGCTGTTATACAGAGAAACCCTGTCTTGGAAAACAAACAAACAAACAAACAAACAAAAAAAAAACCAACCAAACAGAAAGTGAATGTGATTGTATCCAGGTATGGTGGTACTTACCTATAATCACAGTGTTTGGGAATGGAGGCAGGAAGATCAGGAGGTCAAGGCCATCCCTGGTTATATGACAAATATAAAGCCAGACTGGGCTACATCAAACTCTATCTCCAAATATTAATGATAACTTTTTAAAAGAATAAGAACACTCTTGGTACTTTTTCCTGCTGGTGCTGGGAATTGAACCTAGGGCCTTGCAGATGCTAGGCAAACATTCTGCCACTGACCTACATTCCTGGTCCCATCACCTTCTTTCCTGACCCATTTTCCCACTGTATTTTACCTGCAGGTCTTGCAGAAAGAATCCATTGTGATCTACAGCCTGTGGACCCCACAAGGAGTGAGGTGACATATACCACTAGCCAGGTCTCTGAGGGCTGCATAGCTCAGGTTGCCAACGCTACATATGAAGTTCATGTTCTCTTCCTGGATTTTTCCAAGGTGAGTACCGCTGGCAGGTTCAGTGGGAACCCACAGGAAGCAGAGGCATTGAGGTGAAGGATGCCTTCCCTTGGCTGTTGCCGGGGCAGTGGCTGGGACTTCACTGGGGCCTTACTCATGAGACTTATAGGACATCTCCTGGGAAGGCCCAGAGGGAGGGATGAAAGCATGACAAGACCCAGCTTCACCCCAGGGTGAAGCAGCTTAGCCAGTGAGGTGCTTGCTACCAAGTGTGATGGCCTGAGTTCAATTCTCTGAACCTACATAATAGAAGAAATGACTCCCTTGACTTCTACACACACACACACACACACACACACACACACACACACACACATTAATACATTAATAATTTTAAAGAAAGAACTCAGGTAGAAAAGAGCTAGGTAAGCGATTCTGTGTGAAGCGGGGGAGCTTATGACCAAACACCTCTGGTGAACAGGCTCTAGTAGCTTTTCAGAGGACTTGATGCCACTCTAACCTGGACTTGGGAGAAAGAGTTGAGTTCCAGACTCCCTCACATCAAACTTCTGCAACCCCACCAAGCATCCTCTGAGATCCCAAACCAACAGAGCCGGCCTCAAGTCTGATCTCCAACAGAACTTTCTCAAGGTCAGCCCCTAGCTTGTCCAGATGTGTGGCCCAGGTGCCAGGCTATAGCCTACTGTCTGCTAGGAACTAGCATTTTTGTTTGTTTGTTTTGTTGTTTTTTTACATTAGGGTTCATATAGTTCAGGCTATCCTACAGTTGAGGATGACTCTGAACTGATCTTCCTGTCTCTATCTCCAAAGTGCTGGGATTATAGGCACATGTCACCACATCTGATTATATGGTGCTAGGCTTCAGACTCAGGGCTTCATGCTTGCTTGGCAAATACTTTACATCTCTAGCCCTGGAAATAAATAGATAAAAAGACAGACAGACAGACAGACAGATAGTGTGTGTGAAGTGTATGGGTATATGTGTATGTGTGTGGTGTGTGTGTGGTGTATGTGTATGTAGTATATGTGTGTGGTGTGTGTGTGTGGTATATGTATGATGTGTGAATGTGTATGGTGTATATGTGTATGTGAGTGTGAGTGTGTGTGTGTGTGTAGTATGTGTTTGTGTGGTGTATGTATGGTGTGTGTATGGTGTATGTATGCGTGTGGGATGTGTGTTTATGTGGTGTGTGTGTGGTGTATGTGATGTGTGTGTGGTGTGTATGGTGTGTGTGTATGTGTGATGTGTGTGTTTATGTGGTATGTGTGTATGTATATGGGAGAGATGTGTGTTGGTGTATAGTGTGTATGTTTGTGTGTGGGGGTGTGTGGTGTGTAAGTATCTTCTCAAGGGCTCATCATGGTCTATTACTATTCTCATTTTTTGGAGGAGGAAACTGAGTCTGGCCTTGAAAACTAAAACATGAACCTAAAGCCAGAAGCCACACCAGAATCCTAGGGACCTTAGAGCCAAATTCAAGTGTCATTGGCATGCCTGGGATACAGCCTACACCTAGCTGATGTGGACTAAGGCCACAAGAATGAATTAGGAGCATGGGGTAAATTTGTGACCAGCCTTCCCCTAAAACTGTTGAGTTGCCTAGCATTTGTGCAGTGATAAGAAGGTGCCCAGACCACCAATATCAGGGGGCCCTGCCTGCCACAAGGACTGTGGGCTTTGATAACCCCAAGGTACAGATAGTGCCAAATACATTTTATGTGGTTTTCATAAGCACTGTAATGGTTTTTTCATTGGTAATGATATCAAAAAATAAGAAGGTTCCTGCAAGTTCATTTTGTTTGTTCTGAGGTGATTGGGGTCCCCTGACAGCAGAGCCAGGAAGAGGAAGGCCCCAGCCAGACAGCCAGGTCTCTGGGCCACAGATGTGTAGACAGCTCCTGCCAGGACCCAGGAGGCTGGTGTACTGGCAGGGGCACAGGGCAGGGAACTTCAGCTGCTAAAAGCTTAGGCAGGGCTTCCTGGAGGAAGTGACCACACAGAGTAGCTAAGACCTCCCCAAGTGTGGTAGACAGGGGCCCAGCAGGAGAGAGAACATGCAGAGGGGAGGGAACTGCCTGCTCAGGCTCTGCATGTCCCAGGCAGGACCTAGCGGTCCACCTAGGAGCAGAGTTGGGGAGACAGGAAAGATCCCTTTTTAGGAGCTTGCTTTTGATCTATGAGCAGTGACGTCCATTGAAGGGTTTTCATGGCTGTGATGGGGTGCCATGGCATAGTCCAAGGATTCTAGAGTTTGTGGCAACTGAATCTCCCTGTAGCCCTCTGCTCCTTCCAGAGGACTCGGTCATGTGACTTCTGACCCACCAGGCCAGGCTTCCAGCTCTAGAGCTCCAAAGGGTTTGCATTTGAAGGGGTGGTGGAGAGAGCCTGGGTCCAGGAGATGCAGGGTATAGCCCTGGGATCTGTCCTTGGCCTGCATGGGATGCAAAAGATGCACCCCTCATATTTTTCTTGGGTTCAGATGCTCACCCAAGAATTATGAAACTATAAGATCTAGTCCCAGGCCTATTCCAAATAATTAATATGTTCTATAAATTAATGAATGTCCATTGGTGAATGCATTCAAGTGTGACCATGATACAAAGTTTAGGAACACAACTTCTGCTCAGGTATTGCTGCAGATGACTGAAATCCCAGTTACCCAGGAAGCTGAGGCAGGAAGATGCCTTGAAAAACTGCAAGTTTCAGGTCATCCGGGGCAACATAGTAAGAGTTTGCTAAAAAAAAAAAAAAGAAAAAAAGAAAGAAAGAAAAACCAAGAAGGAAGAATACAGACTCTGGAGCCAGTTAGCCCTCAACTGAACTTTGGCTAACTTCATGGCCGCATTACTTTGTTGGCAACCTGTCCGAACTCTTTTCTTCCCACGGGAAACGTGGAGAGGATGATAATCATTCCTACTTCACAGGTTACTATGGGACTCTAGTGAATAATGCGTGCCAAACACAGAGCCTGCTTGGAAGGAAAGCTCTAGCTGTTGTTATTATTATTACTTTTTCCTGGGCTCCATTTCTCACCTGGAAATACCTGGTTGTGACCCAGTTTCCAACATCTTCCAATCAGATCACTCCTTGAACCTCACAGGAGTCTAAACCCTCTGGAGAAAAGGCCAAGCCTCAGATCCATCCATTTCTAGACAGGCTAACTAAGGCTGGGTCTCATGGAGTTCCTGGCTCCGTGTCTCAAGAATAGTGTCTGCCTGTGACCCTGTTCAGTCTTGGTGCTGTGACCACCAAGCCTGTGAGTTTCTTCCCTGATAGTCTCTAAGAACAAGGTCCATGCTACAGTCCCTTGCCACCAACTCTGCCCAGGAGCTTGCTATGTGCCCAGCCTGTGGTCAAGGGTACAGTCAGAAAAATGATGCAGGAGGATTAGAAGTAAAGTCAGGATAGAGGGAGGCTCAGCCTTTAAGAGCACTCACTGCTCTTTCAGAAAATCTGTTCTGTTCCTAGCACCCACACCAGACAGCTCACAACTGCCTGTAACTCCAGCTCCAGAGGATCCAATATCTCTTCTGACCTCCATAGACCACCCCCCAACACATACAGACACATACACATATACATACACATACACATAAGTTCAAGGTACTTCTGGCCTGTATTGTGAGTTTGAGGCCATCCTGGGCTATATGAAGACATTTAAAAGTAAAAAGAAAGGCTCCTTTTGTCTCTCTCTCTCATCCTAGTCACAGGCATGAGCTGATAGGCCTGTTTCTACTGACCTTTGGCCTTTTTGTCAGTCCCTGGCACGGAGAGAAGACAGCTTTCCCGTCCATCCCCACATGGCCTCAGAACCCTCAGATTTCCTGTGCGTGGGTGGCAGATGAGTGGTGGCAGCCAAGAACCCCAGGGAAGTGGCAGTGGGTGTGTGTCTCTGTCTGTCTCTGTCTTGTGTGTGTGTGTGTGTTAAAGTCTGTAGACAAACCTCAAGCTACTGAGCAGGGGTTATCTCACTGGGTCCCAAAGGACAGGCCGGAGCCTGGATTCCGGGAGGGAGCTAAGGTCACATCCTGACCTTCAAGACAGGAACAGGCCTGGTGGATCAGTGATTGCCATCAGGCTGACTACACTGCTCTGCTGTCCCAGACCTGGGCAGTCAAGAGTGGTTAGCTGCTAACTCTCTCCCCTCCTGGGCAAACTCAAGGAGCCCCTTCCTAAAGCCTGGAGCCAGCCAGGCTCTGATTCATGCCTCAGTGCACAGAGCAGGCAGAGCTGCTGAGGCAGAGTGCAAGCCAGCAGGTGCCTCCCACAGTCTTCCTCACACTGCCATGAGAGAATGGGAGGGCCATGAAAAGCAGGGTGACCCACAATGAGCAGCCTTTCTGTCACCCCCTTCTAGCGGCAACCCTACTCCAGTGTGGGAAGCCTGCAGCACTGAAGGAATGTGTGTACCTGGAGTTTTCTCTTACAGTGCACACCCTGCTCAGTGTGCCCAGGACTCCTGAGTGTCCTGCTTAGTTGTCTCTGAGCCTATTCTACCTGCTATAGGGGAGTGACTCTTGTTATAGTCTCCAAAAAAGGACCTTGCTGGCCTGCTGTGAATTCTCCTGTACCTGAAGAATGGCAGAGTCGGCTCTGCGGGAGGCACAAGACAGAGTTGGGGCTCCCCACATCTGGATGCATGAACATTCTTGTTCTGCTATCAGAGCAAAATAAAGAGACTGAGGGCCCTGGGACTGGAGCTGCTTTTGTGTCCTTGTCCTGGCCCTCACAGATGATGAGCAGGTTAGGGACAGCTAGAGCTACAAAGTGAGACCTTATCTTGAAAAAAAAAAAAAAAAAAAAAAAAAAAAAAAAAAAAACCCACCACCACCAAAACTGTAGTGTCATTTTTTTTATCTAACAGCCTTGGTTTGAGGTGTACTTTGTCTGGTGTCAGGACAGGCTTCCATTTGCTTGGCTGTTTGCTTTCCATGCTCTGATGTGAAGTTTCTGTCTAAGCGTGCTTCTTGGAGACAGCATATATCCAGCCCATTATTCTGTGTTATTGAACTTGTAG